AGGAGAAGAACAGGCTGCAAGGGAATAAAGCAGGTCCTCAAGCTCAAGAGAACTCTTATTTTCAACATACCTGACAAAGGAAGTTACAAGGAAACCACTGTGTAACTCAGAGTCTCTTCCCCTTACCTAGCAGAACTACACAATAGAGCAGCTCGGTGTGATTTTCCGTGCTGAGCGGCTTAGCTTGAGAACAGATCTGTGGGAAGAAGGGAAATGGTCAAAGAAAAACTAATCAGAAGCAATTGAAAAGAAAAGGTTCAATTAATTTCTAAGCTTCCACTTCCTACTTGTCCAAATAGAGGTCTGAACCCCAGGTAGATGGTACTGAATGCACAGCAAGAATCAAACACAAGAAACGGTTACTCACCTTCTCGTAGCTGTTGTTCTTCGAGATGGGTTGTTCATGTCCATGCCAATACCCACCCTCCTACCCCTCTGTCGGAGTATCGGCAAGAAGGAACTGAGGCAGTGGGGGGTTGGCTGGCCCCTATATACAGCGCCATAAAGGCGCCACTCCAGGGGGCGCTGGAGCCGACCCTACGGACGCTGCTATGGGAAAATCTTCCGGCTGGCGTGCACGCGGCGTGCACACACCTGCTTGGAATGGACATGAACAACACATCTCGAAGAACAACAGTTATGAGAAGGTGAGTAACCGTTTCTTGTGTTTGATTCTTGCTGTGCATTCAGTACCATCTACCTGGGGTTCAGACCTCTATTTGGACAAGTAGGAAGTGGAAGCTTAGAAATTAATTGAACATTTTCTTTTCAATTGCTTCTGATTAGTTTTTCTTTGACCATTTCCCTTCTTCCCACAGATCTGTTCTCAAGCTAAGCCGCTCAGCACGGAAAATCACGCAGAGCTGTTCGATTGTGTAGTTCTGCTAGGTAAGGGGAAGAGACTCTGAGTTACACAGTGGTTTCCTTGTAACTTCCTTTGTCAGGTATGGTAAGAATAAGAGTTCTGTTGTCAGTGAGGACGTGATTTGTTCCCTTGCAGCCTGTTCTTCTCCTGATGATCTGATAGCATTTCTGCACTCGCAGCTGGAGATTGAGAATAAGGCTGTTCGTGTGGCCTCTGAATCTGCTCAGAGCTATTGTTGGTGCCGACTGTAAGTAACAGAGGAGCAACTGTGCCAGCTGCCCTCTTGGCCGACATGCTGAGGGTTGAGTTGGGGACATCCAGAGCAGGGCCGGCTTTAGGAAGTGCTGGGCCCGATTCGTGGGGCTTGTACTCACCAGGTGGCGCTCCGAGTCTTCGGCGGCGGGTCCTTCACTCGCTCCGGGTCTTTGGCAGCACTTTGGCGGCGGGTCCTTCACGTGCCGCCGAAGAGCCGGAGGGAGTGAAGGACCCGCCGCTGAAGTGCCGCCAAAGACCCGGAGCACCGCTGGGTGAGTAAAAATTAAAAAGGCCACTGGGCACGCACGGGGCCCTGTTAAGCGTGGGGTGCAGGGCTCTCTTAGGCACGGGGCCCAATTCAGGAGAATCGGGGGGATCGGCCTAAAGCCAGCTCTGATCTAGAGCTAAAAGCATGAGCTACTATAAACTGAGCTAAAGAACCAAGGCTTTGTAGGCAGGGCAAGGCTGTAACAGACTCATCGCCTCTGCAAATGGGGCACAGAGTCTCTATAACACACAGTCACCAGTGGTTTGGATCTCCACTAAGGGTCCAAATGCTGCCCTAAGTTACCCTCTTATGGCCACCCAGAAATCAACAGGTTCAACTAAGTGCTGAATGTAGCCCAAGATATTTTTCAACTTCAAATAAAGAAGTTAACTTGGGGCTAATGCATGTTAACAATAATCAGATAAAAATAAAATAAGACTCCTGACTTGATATTCGTCAGTATTATACACTACAGATTAGATTCTGAGTTCTGTTCTACTGGTGTAAACACAGATTAACTTCAATGACCTCAGTCTATCTAACGCTTTTATAATATTTCCATCATGGTATATGATGGCACTCATTATAGAAGTGGAATTACTTTAGTGTGGTGACGACACAGGAAAGGAAACAGAACGCCAGGTTTGTTGGTAGCCAGAG